ATATATTTTCTATTTTACATCTTTTACTATATATTTTACTATATTTTCTATATGTTTTAATAAAGTTTTTCAACCAAAAGAAGTAGTTTTCTCGTATATAAAGATTTTAAGATCTTAACATGTTTAATCATCAAAAGGATATGCAAAAAGGAGCAAAAGAAGTGTTATCTTTGATATAGCTACTTATTCAAGTCCAAGGAACCAAGCCAAGCCACTTTATCTTGAAGATAAATTTTTAAGTTGGACAGAATATATACTCCAAAAATTCACTGATGAAAGGAGGATTATTTCAACTTAGATCTAATAAAATTTGGTTGGAAGTTAGCCCTTTGAGTTAACTTGTCAGTGGAGTTCAAATTACATCAATTGGAGCTGTACAGCAGAAGTTAAATTGAAAATTTGAAGATATATCGAACTGCCTTAAAAGTGAAGCGAGTGCAGAAACGAGACAAGCACCGGGCCGCTCCGTGGGCCAATGATCCATAATCATGCTGACCTTCTAGAAGTGTCAAGGAAGCCTCAAATAGCGGTCACGTAAACCTACCAATACTTTGGTCAATGTTGGAGCACATTCGACATAAATGACTCTTTTGCCCAAAGATAAACCTAGCCGACTTAGGACCTCTTCAACCCCTATATATACTTGCTTTTAGCCACTCTAGGAAGATAAGCATCTGGCCAAAATAAACTAAATCAATACCTAAATATGTATTTTGTTTTTTTTTCTTGTTCTTAATGCATATTTGATTCTAGAAGCCTTTAAGAGTAGTTCAACTTTGCTCTATTACAAAGAGATGAGAACTAATCCCTTATGCTTGATAAGATCAAGGATTTATACTATGTCTATATTCTTTACTCTTGCTACTACGTGTTGCAAAACATGTTAGAGTATTTGCTTTGATTTGATTATATGCACTTTCTTAATTCTATGTCATCACATATTTAATCGTTTAAAGTTTTATTCTAGAATTGATTCTTCACCTTTATTTATGCTCAAGGCATCAACTTGCTTAGATACCCAGGGACTAATATGAGGTTGATATACACTCCAAAAGCTTGTTATATCTCTCGACCTAGTATTTGATGAGCTAGGCATATTAACAATTTGATAGGTTAGTTTTGGAGTTTAGTGAACGATCGAATCTTACACATCACGCGTGTGTTTTCCTTGTAATAACCTGCAATAGTTGAGTCTATTAGAGTAGAAGATATTGAAGTTTGATCCACGATAGTGGTATAACTTTACAGTAGTGATTTGAGTTCTAGAACAACTAGTATTAAAACCCTAAATCGTTTGCTTGTGTCTTGGATATGTTTTGTCAATCGCTTGACATTTCATCTTAATTGATCATCTATCCTTTAGTTATCTTTAATTGATCATCTATCTTAATTGGTACTAGATATGATCTCGTCGCGTGCTTTGGATGCAGATGATTCTTGGCTCTGGCGAGTTACGAGCAGTGTGTCGCTAGCTGTGGACATTATGGATGTTGATTTATCCATCTCCACTCTAGCGGATCTTAGATCAGATTTCAGTGTGAGACGTATATATTTCCTCTCTTTGGATGATGCAAAATATGGAAACTGAATTCCGCACTAAGAATTTATATGTGAATTCGGAGAAAAAAACTTTTCTCAAGAAATATCTATAAATGTAACGAGCTGAATTTATATTGTGTGAAACTTGAACATAAATCTAGATTACTAATTGTCGATCTGATTATACATAATTGTCAAATCAATGGTTCGATAAATGAATTTTGTTTCTACAATATAAAAATGATGAAATCAAAGAAAATTAACATGGGGGCTTACTTTGGAGTGAGGATGGTTACTAACTTGGATGAATGTTAACTGCTAGGTTCATGATTTTCGTGAGATGATTCCCAAGCAATGTTCTAAAAAACGTTCTAAGTGTTTCTCTATGTCATAAAACCACTAAAGATCTTGAAGCAGCTACATTTTGCCAAAAGATATACCTTTTGACATGCATATCTCATTCTTCCAAAGAAACAAGTAAATAAACTAAATAACAATAAGGTCGTGTTCTCTCAAGCAAGACTTTCGAGGAGCCGCAAAATCACCGTACAGAAGAACGATGTGCCCACGCCGTCGGAACTGCTCCTTCCACCAGAGCTCCTCCTTCTACACTTGAAGCTTCTCGACTTTTCGAAGAGCTCCCGAAGATCCGTTGATTCATATTCCACTGGAGCTCTTATCGAGATCGAGATCTCTCTTCCAGTTTCCGTCGTTCTTACAACCATGGTGTGTGAATATGATTTGAGGGGGGTGCTCAAAACATCGCTTGTTTCGAATTCGACCGAGACTCTCTTTCAACCGTTGGGGTTGAACTAATCGGTACCAGCAACTCTCCCAAAGCCTTCGAAACCACCGGATCCGCCAGATCTGATGCGCCTATACACATATTCTTTAGATCTGCTTCTGTGTTATCAGCACCGTCG